GGGTAGGTAGAGGCCGTCAAAATAGGGTAAGTCGAGAAACCGGAAGCAGAACTCTCTTTTGGGCCTAAGATGTGGCTTCTATTTCGTCAAATAAAAAGACCACAAAATAATGGGGCCGTATCATAAGTCCGACGCCTCATAGGTCCGACGCCTCATAAGTCCGAAATTTCGGACTTTTGAGGCGTCGGACTTATGAGGCCTAAAATGTATTTATTCCGCTTCATAGGTCCGACGCCTCATAAGTCCGACGCCTCATAAGTCCGACAAATTAAACGCCTCGTTATTCCGTTGTCGGACTTATGAGGCGTCGGACTTATGAGCGGACCCAAAAATAATAGGCCATGCCCATTTATTCACCCGACCTCAGAGAGAGAGACGCCGAATACATTTAAGGAGTTAATTTAGTACAATTTGTCTGATTCTCTTTTTTTTTTAAATGAAACGATTTCACCACATCTTAGCCCATTAAATTCTGAACTGTCAGTTCAATCTCCTGTGAATTCCTGGGGAAAATTTTATACGAATTATGCTTAGTTTTTATTATTTTTAAAGGAATAAAATCAAGATTATCAACACTGAACAGCCCTTGAACTTTTATTAATACTGAACGTGAAAAATATTTTCAAGAGTAACATCTACACAAAATAATGTAGGCAATGTTATGGGTTTTTTTAAACGAAGAATAATATCAAAAAAGACATGGAGGTCTCTCTGCATTTAATGACTCATTTTGGGACTTGGAATATCCTTATCCGACTCGTTATTTTGCCATGTGCATATTCACAAAACCGGCCTGTGTGAAATTTCAGTTTCCTTCATTTTTTTTTCCAAAGTTTTCATGGCCTTTGAAAAAATGCCCAGATAAAATATAACAAAAAAAAACCTTCCCCGCAGAATGATCGATAGCCGCATTGTTCAAATTGATACAACACATATTCGTTGTTGTTACAAAGATCTATTTGGCATCATTTAAAAGGCGCCGCCGAACTTTGAGGACGGTGTCCCATGAACAGTCTCAGCCAATTAAATGAGCCGGTCCCGGCAAATAAATACGCCATTGGTTGCTTTCTTCACGGACCATTTATGCTTTCATGAATATGACACGCCTTCCACACTCAAATGGATATTGATGGCCAATGGCTGGAATTCCTTGCTAGGCTGAGCCGCAGGTGCAGCAAAACTGTCACATTCCAACCTGGTTGCCTAGAGATACTGTTGCTAGGGAGGCTCCCCTGTGATGTCCCAGACTGCCGGTTGCGTAGCCAGAAAATCTTGCATGTGAGAGAGGGTGTGACTATTTTCTCGAATGCTGACGCTTTGGGGACATTTGTGAAGGCAACAAACAAAAAAGTTCTGCTTCCGATTATTTTTCATGGCGTTCAAAAATATGGTAGGTATGGTAGGTAGGGAATGTATTTTTATTTTTTTTTTGACATTTTTTTGGTAGGATCATTATGGAGACGTATGCGGCACAAGGTAGACATTGATGGTATCGGGTGTTTTGTTCTCATTTTCCCATATAAAAATAGGGCAGGTAGGGAACCGGAAGCAGAACTTTCTTTTGGCCTAAGATGCGGCTTCTATTTCGTTTAATAATTTTTTTAAAGATAATCTGAGCTTGAACGTTACGTACAAAATACAAATAAACGATCTTCCTCAGGCCTGGAAAATGTCTTTCTTGAAGTGACATTTTTGAAGTGACAGTGACACTATATTTGACAACACTAGCAGAAGATTGAGTTCTTCTTTATTTGTATTTCGCCTCTGGAAATGTTTTTTTCCTAACATTTTCGTATTCCCCCCCCAAAAAATACCCAGGCGGCCTCTAAAAAAAATAAAGATAATCTGAGCTTGAACGTTACGTACAAAATACAAATAAACGATCTTCCTCAGGCCTGGAAAATGTCTTTCTTGAAGTGACATTTTTGAAGTGACAGTGACACTATATTTGACAACACTAGCAGAAGATTGAGTTCTTCTTTATTTGTATTTCGCCTCTGGAAATGTTTTTTTCCTAACATTTTCGTATTCCCCCCCCCCCCCCCAAAAAAATACCCAGGCGGCCTCTCAAAGAAAGAAGCCTGATTCCCCCCCCCCCCCCCCCCCCCCGGGCATGATACTATATAGGTCGTTTTTTAGACCGCTCTTTGGATACGTACGTACTATACAGTCTATACTGTAGAACGTTTTCGTGAAATGTTCTGAAAACCGGTATCCACTCATAATACTCATACTGTAGTGTAGCGGCCTGTTGGTACATGTATGAGTGCAGAATTACTCCAGGTAACAATGTTATTATCTCGCAGTGTTTGCTAAGGATTAAGCGCAGATAAGAAGCGTTCGCCGACCTCATAAAAACGAACTACCGCCACGAGATCTGCCTGTGGTTCAATGGTAAACACAACAACGTGTACTGCAGCAATAAAACGATATCGACTTGCCGCTTGACTGCAGGATCGTTTGTGGTTTTTTAATCCCCGCTAATCTGCCTTCCGTAGTGGGCAGAGCTGAAACACTTTGACGAACGTATTTACCGTATACCAGGAATTGTTTACTCTGATCGGTACTGTATGTGAAAGTAAGTAGCATACATTGTAGTACTTTGAATGATGTATAACACGGCCACGGCCACTCCAGACTCCCATAACAGAGGAGGAAGTCAAGAGCGCCATCAATGCACGCCACCGCAATGGCCATGCTGCCAGTCCAGACGGTATCAACAGCGAGCTCTTCAAGCACTCCAAAAACCTTGTCTCCCACCCACTGGCCAAAACCATCACCTCATCGTTTGAGCATCACATGATCATAGAGACACTAGGAGAAGGCACACTAATCACTCTTCCCAAGCCAAAGAAGCGCCCCCCCCCAGCTCACCAGCCAACCTCCGGCCGATAGCCCTGCTGAACAGCATAAGAAAGATTTGTCCATCATCACCCTACGCCGCATCAGAGACAAGCTCGACCGCTTCACCGGACCATATCAAAGTGGTTTCAAAGAGGCAGGAGCTGCGCAGACATTGTATGGGCACAATGTATGTTGACCTCAGTTGTTAAGACAAGGAAATGGGACTTCCACAAGATGGGCATTGATCTGTCGCAAGCTTTAGATACCATCAAGCGGAAACACATCCTAGATGTCCTACTACAAGCAGGCTGCAAAGATGGTCAATGTTAGGCCATGTCCTACGTATGGATCCCGACACACCCGCTCAGAGGGCCTTAGACTTTGCTGTTACTGGCTCTCAAGCCTACAAACCAAGACGAGGACGGAATTGCATAAATCTACTGGGCACAATACGTGCTGACCTCAAATGGGCTGGATTCGGACCCCTCCGCACTGCGAAACAACTCCATTGCCTACAGCAACTCCCCCACGACAGGACCAGGTGGCCGAAGACCAATGTGAAGGACTGATTGCGGCTGCGGCATGTCAAATCCGACTACCGCAGCTGCAGTACACAGTATATATATATATATATAACAAAGATTAATACCAAAAGTCGTTTACAAGTAGAAAAATCGTGTACAAAGTCTATGGGATTTGCCACGGAACAAAAAGGAGAGAGAAAAAAAATGAGAACAAACAGAAAGGCTTTTCCGCTACTTTGCAGAAAAGCAACACACAAAAAGGGGACAAAAAACCTTAACAAAAACAAAATCTGTCCCCAATGCAACAAATAGACAAATTCTAGCCATTTTTAAGTTTTCGTTTTGCCAATTGCAAGGGTATGTGTACATAGAAGCCTTTTGCTGACATGCAATTGGGAATTTAGAAAAAAAACCCAGAAATTCCAAACCACAACAAGACTTTGTACAGTGTTATTCAATTTATGAATGGCATTCTTGAGAAGTTAAAACCAAGGAAATCGGCTGATCCGAGGAAAAGTTGCTTGCCTGCTTCAGCTCAGGCTAATTTTTCTGTCTGGTGTGACGTCATTTCAGGCCAAAACCCCATTGTTACAACTACGCAGTACCAAAAGTTGTTTTTAACTCTTACGTACCTGAAAATCCACACCCCTGTTTTGGAGGATTTCAGCTGAATCAGGATACTTCATATTGAACAAGTTGGGGTATTTTGATGGATTCAGGACAGTAAGCCCAACAGCACGGCAGGATTTTGATAGATTCAGAATGCTTCCATATTGAGCAGTTGGGGGGGGGGGGGCTTTTGACGGATTCAGGATCTCAACAATTGAACCCCTGGCTCACTGGTGGATACTGATGGACTCACTGGATACCAACATTTGTTTGCATGACAAAACTGATGGATTTTGGCGGATTCAGGATACTTTCTATTAACAATACCCAAGGGGTTATGGTTAATGGTACATTACCGCCTGGAATGCACCCACTTGGCTACAAAACACTTTTGGATACAATTAAATGGCAAGAACAGTAAAAGCAAAATATAAACTTCCATACAAGCATCCATTAAAAACTGGCTGCGTTTGTGTTATTCTTGCAAGAACCGTGCGAGAACAAATTTCCGGGGTCAATATTTTGTTTTCGAAAATCAAGCTGTGGATGCATCAGAAAAAAACATTTGTGTTGGTGCTCTGTGTAGTTTATGTGACACACACTGTGTATTGAACGTTGAATGGACCGGACAGGATTAACGTATGCGTATATGCCTTCACATCAGATGTTAAGACATAAGGGGACGGTAAGGCATAAGGTTAGTTTCCTTGCAATCAGACCTTAAAAAAGTAAACAATACAAAACATGACATTTTGGGGGATTTCAGGCAGGAATACCCCTTTCAATTTTTGGATATTGTGGTATTGTAAATAGCATTAGCCAATGAGCAAACGTTTCTCAAGTACCTGTTTAATGAGCAGATTTTTTTGAATTCACAAAACCAAGTCATTTTTCCCCAATGTACATTTTACCCTTAATGTACAAAACAACTTAATTTGCACAAATTACGGCAGGAATATCAGTTGATAGAGCATATATATGTGACGTGGTATGTCAAATTCAGGCACATTTGGGCATGAAGTCAATTTTCAGTTACTGCAATATTAGTGACATATAGGTCTCTCTCAAATGATGCGACTACAGATTGCCACATGCATCTCGGCATTTTGGATTCAAATGTTCTTGACGCTCATCGGCTGCACCTTTTTTCAATTTTTCAATTCAGAAAATTTGAGTAACATGCGCACGTGTTCAGAACATTTTGTCTCACCGTGCACAATGGCGTTGTGCAAATGACAACGTACTTTTCTTAATATGTCTTATAAGAGATACATCTATAGACTTCACTCTTACAAAGACCCCTTTTTTCTGAAATTTGATAATACAACATGGTTTTGACATACTGTGTCACATAACATATGATTAATACCAAAAACATATTAAAAGAAATATTACTATGTTATTCAGTGGCGGATCCAACATTTACAGAAATGAGGGGGGTGCCAATAAAGGATGCAAACCTGAACATTCAAGCAGGGCACATTGTACTTGCTATTCAATGTGGTTGAAAAGTTTCTGTCTTGAATATATCACAAGTGAAGTGAAAAAAAAGGAAAACAGACAAGATGAATGCACTTCCCATTCTGCCCATCTGATCCGCCACTGTTAATACTTGAACAATGCAAATCAACACCGAACTAGGATATATTTTTACATTCAAGAAAGAAGTAAACAGTTACCACATTCCCCTGGTCTTGTGCCTGTGGTCCCCTCCAGCGTGGATCCCCTCCAGCGTGGATCCCCTCCAGCGTGGATCCCCTCCAGCGTGGGTTCCCTCCAGCGTGGGTTCCCTCCAGCGTGGGTCCCCTCCAGCGTGGGTCCCGTCCAGCGTGGGTCCCGTCCAGCGTGGGTCCCGTCCAGCGTGGGCTTCCTCCAGCGTGGGTTCCCTCCAGCGTGGGTTCCCTCCAGCGTGGGTTCCCTCCAGCGTGGGTTCCCTCCAGCGTGGGTCCCCTCCAGCGTGGGTCCCCTCCAGCGTGGGTCCCCTCCAGCGTGGGCTTCCTCCAGCGTGGGTCCCCTCCAGCGTGGGTCCCCTCCAGCGTGGGTCCCCCCCCAGCGTGGGCTCCCTCCAGTGTGGGCTCCCTCCAGCGTAGGCCCCCTCCAGCATGGGCTCCCTCCAGCATGGGTCCCCTCTAGCTCCACCTGTATGATCCAGTCTATATGTCTCTGGGTAAGAGGTCTCCAGGTGAGGGCCGCAGAAGGTGCTGGAGCTAAGCCAAGTGGTCTCTCGATCTCCTTCGCAAGCATTTACTGGAAACCAGCACGGCCTGTTCACCAATCAAACATAATACATAATATCAGATCAAGACTCCGAGTTGAAATACATGTAGAGTCAATTACAAGTCAAATTACAGGTCTAATAATACTCAAGACACACTGTGATCTTTAAAGCATTGCATTTCTTACAACTAAGTCTGAAACCTTCTAAAATCGCATTTGTTGGATTTTACCCACTTGATCGTTCATGTGGTTGTCCGGATCAGACCGGCCACATGCTAGCGGGCAGCGCGGTATGTACAGTGGTACCCTACTGTTGTGTACCATCGTGTGTTGTGCACTCACGCACCACACACTGTATAATTACCGTGTGATACAGTCAGCATCACACGCTTTCCATGTCAGCAGGTCAATGTTTCAACTTTCATCCAGTGGGAAAAGGCTCCATTCAGTGTTGGCCTAGGTGTTTGTATATTCCCTTTACGGCCGGCAAGTGAGATCAGCTTCATCCTGAATCAAGACTCAGCAGCACTGATTTCAACAAAATGTAGCCAAAGCAGCTTGATTGTACTATTTGTGTCCTTATTTTGTGTGGTTCATGAAACACCACAAAGCATATATGCATAAAAGGGAGGGGAGGAGAGCCCACTGACACCACTGCGTATATACACCATGCGGACAGGAGGGAAGAGGCATTTCTTGCATAAGTTCTTTACAGACGGCCCACTTGCAAAGAGTAAACTGCATACCTTGGCAGTCACACTTGTTGGCGATTGTCCCCATGCATTCTTGCATTTGCGGATGCCCAGCTTGATCTTAGGCCTATCTCTAGTCTCCTCCAGCATGGCTTCCAGCGTCAGCCTGTCAGCTCTATAGGGGCTCTGGTCTGGGTCTCTACAAAGTAAGAGGTCGGGGCAGTGTAGGGTATTATGGCTCCAAAACTCGCAGCCAGGATCCTAGTCAGTAGCCTGTTCATGGATAAAAAGCAAAATTAGAAATAATTCTTGAAGAACAAGTTAGAGGTAGAGTTGAGATTGTGTAAATCACAAGTCAAATTACAACAAAACAGGATGAATGAAAGAGGAATATCTGAACAGTTCACATGAATTGCTTGCAAAAAAACCCAGTACTGTTAAACCAAACAGTGGCATATGAATTCCTTTGGTGTATTAATTGTACATCTAAACTCCAATAAAATGTGCCGTTGCTCAATGGCTCAGCGCGTTGGGTCTGTTTATTGTATACGTGCTAGGCAGCGTTAGTGGACATACACAGAGCTTATCTCTATGTGTCCAAGGTCATCTTGGCTGTGCGCTTCGGCCAGTTTACATGGGGTCCTTCTGACCACAAAGGATTTGATATGTTATACCTTCAAAGAAGGTTCAAGTGCTCTCCAACCATGACGTGGCTCCAAAAGACTGGTAGATCATCTCATACGTGATGCCCAGTGTCAGCTCAATGGGTTTTTGGCACTGCACCCACTGTTGGGGACTGGGTTAGGGACTAGATGACTCATCCTGTTCTTGTTAGGGGAGTGTGGGCAGGGCCGCAAAACAACCCCACCAAATTCCTCGGTCAGACAGTTGCTGCCGCCCAGCTTCAGCCAGAAGCACTTTAACTGCGCAAGGGCCGCTCTTTGCAGTTGGTGGCCCACTTGTACGAAGCTGGCCTATCAGTAATAGCCGCTCAGGTTCAGCCAGAAGACGCTGTGACTGTGCAAGGGCCGCTTGTTGCAGTTGGTGGTTCAGCGCTATTGTGTGAATCTGACCTAGCAGTGACTGCACCTGACCCTTGCTGGTAACCGTCACGATATGGTGTACTTGGTAACCTAGACATCCATCCACCAACTTGATGTTGCACATACTTCTTGTTGCCCGACCCAGCAGGTCCTCTACCCTCTAATTGTAAAAGTTGGCTTCTACTGTGTCCTGCAACATAACGTAGAATGAGAAAGTGATTCCAATCGCTTCTTTAAAGGATTAAAAAGAGAGAGAAAAATCTTCCAATCCAATTTCAAACACAAACAAACAAACCTGAATTTGTTTAATTGGGACTCAGGTTTTAATCCTTGTTGCAGGGACGACCGTACAATTTTGTGTGCAGTACATGTTGTGTAATATAATCACTTAGACATTTCTGGGTTACAAAATTCACTTTTCTAAAATTCCAAAGAAATTCACATCCTATTCAACAACTTTTTCAAATTTTATCAGATCCAGGTTTTGTAGCGAAGCCTCTAATTAACTGGTTAGGGTTCTGTCACACTTCTGCGTATCCTAATTCCTTATGAGTTGCGCATTGACATTTTTTTCATACGCAGTCGTACGTACAATACGCACCTCATATGCATCTCTAGCATTTTGTGTAAGTTTTATGTACGCCGGCATACGCATGGTACGGCCCAATACGCCGGACAGTTTTGGGCATGCACAAAACTACGCTGCGTACGCTGTTACGCAGGTCATATGTTATATACGCAGCACATCGGCCCCGCATCGGTCGAGCGCGATACGAGTACGCTATGTGTTCGTAGGGGATAAGCGGTTCATACGCGGTAATACGCTGATCTCCCAGCACGCACCCCGTCAGCATATGAGCCGGTGTATACATGTACATAGCGTACTTGCAGCGAAGATACATCACACGCTGAACGAACTCATAGCGAATGCCGACGTGCTGCAAGAATTAGTACTGCTCATTCTGCGAGTGGGCAGCGCATTGTACTTATTCGTAACTTATGAGAAACATACAGATAGCGTACTTGCCGCAACTCATACGCATCTCATATGCAGATGATGCACTGGATTCGTTACTTGTATGCTAGATGTGCGTCGCACATTAAAGTCAAAATAATAAAAAACAAGTCAGGTGTGTTTACAAACACAAATGCCCCGCAACCGTGACTGTTTCCATGACATAACACCACTCTAACATCAACTTACATGTACCTTGGTCAAATGGAACGTTCATTGACAGCATTAGTGTCTTCTGTAGGTTTTATATGAATTAATCCCTAATCCCTATGATCTCAGAATAAATACAAGATTTCTATTGTTTCAGCCACTGTGACCTTGACCCTTGACCTTTCGACCCCAATGCAATAGGCTTCTTAAGATTGCCAAGGACAATCCACAAACCAAATTTGAAATTCATATGTAAAGTATATCTGAAGTTATCACGCTGACAAAATTTCTTTTGTTTTTGCCACTGTGACCTTGACCCTTGACCTTTTGGCCCCAAATGCAAAAGGCTTCTTAGGATTGCCAAGGACAATCCACTAACCAAATTTGAAGTTCATATGTGAAGTATTTCTCAAGTTATCGCGCTGACAAAATTTCTATTGTTTCAGCCACTGTGACCTTGACCCTTGACCTTTTGGCCCCAAATGCAAAAGGCTTCTTAGAATTGCCAAGGACAATCCACAAACCAAATTTGAAGTTCATATGTAAAGTATTTCTCAAGTTATCGCGCTGACAAAATTTCTTTTGTTTCAGCCACTGTGACCTTGACCCTTGACCTATCGGCCCCAAATGCAAAAGGCTTCTTAGGATTTCCAAGGACAATCCACAAACCCAATTTGAAGTTCATATGTAAAGTATATCTCAAGTTATCGCGCTGACAAGATTTGTCCGGACACACACACACACACACACACACACACACACCCATACTTGTTTCACATGACTAGTGTGGACTTTCCATTGCTTTCGTGTAGTTAAGAAAAACCAGTGAAAAAACTCATTTTTCTCAAACTGTGAAAACTCTTTCAACCCATTTTTTTTTCTATGATTCCCTTTAGTGTTTCTCTTCATTCTGCTACAGATAAACCTAACCCAAAAATGCCTCTAAACCTGTTTTCCAGAAATGGGGAAACACTGTGTGGACGTGGGGTAAGTCCACACAACGTCGGTGCTACCTACATTATGTGGACGTCTTTTGTTCGGAAGTCCACACTGCGTATGTAAGACAAACTCACCCACACCCCCCCACCCACCCACCCACCCACCCACCCACCCACCCACCCACCCACCCACGGAAGGACAAGGCGGAAACAGTATGCCCCTTCGGCTTCGCCGCGGGGCATATAAATTGACGTTTTGAGCATATGGCAGGGTATTGAAAAATTTTGATAAGGAACTCATAAGGAATTAGGATACGCAAAAGTGTGACAGGGGCTTTATATTAATCATGTGCATCAGGTCGGGTTGACCAGGCCAAACCGACCCAAAACATTGGAGATATAAACCGAATCCGAACTGAAACCAATCTTAACTCCCTAAAACCGACCCGACCCGACAAAAAATAAGGTGAAACCGACCCAAACCGACCCGACTCGAAAAAACCCCGAATATACCTTGCTTGGACAAAGTGATCACTTTTTTGTGCCTGCCCTTACCCACATGGCATGAATTCTTTGCAAATCCATCGTCTCTCTGTCTGTCACACTCAGTTGGTTCATCGAGAGCAACTCTGCTTATTGAACAAACGCTTGGTATCATCACGCAGTATCATGAAAACTGTTACAACGTATCTAAACCGACCCGACCCGAAGTCGGTTTCGGGTCGGGTCAGTTTCGGGTCGGGTTTGCACATCATTACTTTATATGAAAGCATTTTAAAGAAAATTTGTCATCGAGCTATCACACAGTAGCCTAGTGGGTAGCAAGATGGGAAAAAATGTTGCAACCTGACAGCACTTCCGCGATTGTGTACAAAGTCTATGGAGAGGCAAAAACATTTTTGAAGTATTTCTGAACAAATTTGGAAAATTTCTCAGTCCCTCATTCATGTCTTATCATTTTTGCAATGAATGACCTTCATTGAGATGCAGTGGCGTTTCCAGTGGGGGGGGGGGCACTTTGTCCCCCGTGGCGGATTTTTTTGACAATTGTTTTTTGTCAGCAATGATTTTAATAAATGTTTAAAGATTTTTCTGATATCAAGCCCACCAAAGAAAACCTGCTCAACAACCATTACAATGCGCAGTGAAATGTATAAATGTGTAGTATGCATAATAATGGTCAGTTTTGAGGAGCGCCCCCATTTGGAAGTGTCAAGAGGACCCCCCCCCTCATTTCACGGAGGCCAAGTTTCCAGAGGGAAAAACATGTCTACATTTCGGCGCGGATGTGCGGTTGCCCCCCCCCCCCCTGACATCAAAAGCTGGATACGCTGCTGTTGAGATAATATATATATGAAGAAAAAAATTTTTCTACGAGTATTACAAGATCCCTGATTTGAATCCCTGTCATCTACTCCCATAAATGTGACTGAAATACTGGACTACCTCCGTATTATAAGTTACAAAGCCACGTACGGTCTGTGCGCGGGGGGTCCCGTTGCTAGGGGGAGCCGAAAATTATTAAAGATTGAAATTATTTTGTGAGATGAAAATCAACCTAGCTATAATATGACTGATAAATAGTACCAAATTGTTAAATTCCGTACCTTCAGAGGTCTGGTTATTCAAAAATCATGGTGATTCATCAAAGAATGCAGACGGTTTTTGACAAGCATGACGTCTCCAGACTGTTTCCCCCGCCACCCTAATAATAGTGAAGAGGCTAAAGGGGTCAAGGAACCAGACGAAGCTTTAATCATCGACTAAGCGTGCGTCAATTTTGGCAAAGCGCACCGCGGCTGTTACCTGTCATTCCAAAATCTTTGGCACTCTGTAAAGTGCTCGGATGCAATGCGCCACCGCCATGGGCGTCGCCAGGATTTTTTCTAGAGGGGGCCAAAAAAAATTTTGCCAATAAAAGGTTGTATTTCTCAACACATTCTCGATTTATCAGTTTTAGAGGGGGGCAGGGACATTTTGCCCCCCCCCCAACTCATTAAATTTACACCACTTTGTCTTCGCGCCTCTTTTTTTTTTTTTTTTTTTTTTCTTCCTTTTTTTTTTTTTTTTTTGCTTTTCCAGGGGGGGGGGGCAAGTGCCCCCCCTTGCCCCCCCCCCCTCGCGACGCCCATGGCCACCGCGGCAGATTTTGGAATGACAGATAACAGCCGTGGAGCCCTTGCCAAAACTGACACACGCTCAGTAGATGATTAAAGCTTTCGTCTGATTTCTTGACCCCTTTAGCCTCTCCACTATTATTAGGGTGGCCGGGAAACAGTCTGGAGACGTCATGCTTGTCAAAAACCGTCTGCTTTCTTTGACGAATTACCATAATTTTTCGGTAACTAGACCTCTGATGGTGCCGAATTTAACGATTTTGTGCTATTTAGCAGTCATACTATAGCAAGGTTGATTTTCATCTCACAAAATAATTTCCATCTTTAATTAATTTTCGGCTCCCCCTAGCAACGGGACGCTCCGCACACAGGCTATACGTGGCTTTGTGACTTATAATACGGAGGTAGTCCAGTATTCCAGTCACATTTATTGGACTCAGTATCTCAGTATCTGTCACTCGGCTGTTCATTTTCAT